CTTGGCAATACTTCTAACAAATATGGGGAAGCATGTGGGTTTCAGAACATGGATTTTAATCAAAATATTCTATCCTCAGGGCACAACTTCCGGAAGCTGACCATGCAGAGAGCAGGATGAAAGCAACTAATACTTAAAGGTCTAGAAAACATGACCTATGAAAAAAAAGCTGAAACAAAAACTATGGGTCTGTTTAGTTTGGAGAAAAGACGACTGGGAATGGGAGACACATCAGTTTTCAAGAACATAAAAAATTGTTAATCTCTGAAGATAGGACCAGAAGCAATGAACTTAAATTGCAGCAAGAGAGGTTTAGGTTGGACATTAAGAAAAAATTCTTACCAGGGCAGTTAAGTACTGGAACAAATTGCCACAGGAGCATTAATGAAGCAAACAGAGGAGTAGCCATGTTAGTTTGTTTCACAAAAACAATGAGGAGTCCTGTGACACCTTAACAACTAACAAATTTATTGGGCATAAGCTTTTGTGCTCTAGAACCTATGCCCAGCACTCCTTGTTGCTTTTCCATCATTGAAGGTTTTTAAGAATAGGTTAGAAAAACACTCATCAGGAAAGTTCTAGTTATTTAGTATTGCCTTTGGTGAAAAGGACTGGACTAGAAGACCTTTCAATGTCCCTTCCAGTCCTACACTTCTATGATTCTATGTACACAATATACATTCTTTGAAATGTATATAAGGGCAGAGCTCAAACTCACTGTAAATTGGTATTTCTCAGATTCATTTGCTATCATCGTGAACTATCCAGTTATTCTGCCAAGTGCCTCCAATCAATGTCTTGTGACAGAGCCCTAATCCCACTGTAGCTACATATGACTTTATCTGGCTTTTCAGCTTCATCTGAGCTACAATGTAGATCCAATAAATATTCTTCCAAAAGGGACAGTTGGTGCCAGACATACTAACTCTGATCAACTCAACCAGACTGTATCAGTTTGGGGAGGATCAGAGTGATAGGATAAGCTTCAGGAATATGCATGAAACATTAAGAACTGTGAAATGCTGACATCACTTTTTTGTTTTGGTTGACTATTTGGGGTGCTGCTTCTTCAGATGACCTCAAATTTTGACTACAGGTTGAACCTCCAAAATCCGGCAGGATCACAGATATTTCTGGACCAGAAAGCCCCAGCTGGCCTGGTTCAGAACTGAAGCCCAGGGTGGGCTGGCAGTGGGGAGCGCACAGTCCTGGCCCAGGCTGAGGTCCAGGAGCTTAGCCCCAACCGGGGCTAGAAGCTGCAAGGCCAGCAGTTATGGGTACACTATTTCGAAATAACTGTCTGCTATGTAGACACGGACTACGTTATTTCAAAATAGTGTCAGAATATTGTCAAGCTGGAGGACTTCTTATTCCGACTCCTGTAACCCTCATTGTACGAGGAGTAAGGGAAGTCGGAGGAAGAGCGCTCTATTTTGAAATAACTGCTGTGTAGACGTTCCCTATTTGGAAATAAGCTATTTTGAAATAAGATACACAATAGCTCAATTTGCATAGCTTATTTCGAGTTAAGCCCTGCAGTGTAGACAAACCCTAAGAACTCAGCTCTGGCCAGGTGAGGTAGGGAGCACCACTGCAGCTGGGGCTGGTGAGGTGCAGGGAACACAGCTCTGGTCAGGGCTGGTAGGGTGTGTGCGGGGGTGGAGCCCCAGTTGGGACTGAAGGCAGCAGGGTCAGTAGCCAGGAGCACAGTCCCAGCCAGGGCTGGCAGCAGGGAGTGCAGCCTGGGCCAGGGTTGTGGGGTGTACAGCCCCGACTAGGGCTGGAGACAGTGGGGCAGACCCTATCCGGGGCCGGTGAAGTGTGGAGGAAGGGGTGACTAAATGCAGCAGGAGAGGTGGCAGGGAGTGCAGTCCTAGCTGGGTACAAAATCCTACTCCCAGGTAGGGAGCCTTGACCTCCCCTTGTCTGGCAAACTCTGTGGCAAACTCAGGTCCTGAGGGTGCAGGACAAAGGAGGTTCAGCCTGTATTATCCCTGTCCCCAAATCTCCTCAAGGCAAATCAACTTTCAAAAAATAAGCATGTGGACTTTAGAGCACTTGGAAAAATCAGTAAGCTAGTTTCAACTAGAGGTAGGTAACTTACTTTTGCAAATAGTATATTTCCCAACAAATACATATTAGGAGGCACAGAAACTGAAAGCTTGTGTCAAAATCAGCAAATTGTTGAAATTTTCATTGTTTGGGGTTTTTCCAGCTAAAACTGTCATTTTATTTCAACGTTTTGTTTCAAAATGTCATTTCAAATTGACATTCAAAATAATATTTCATTTGATCTAAACCAAAAATTGTTCAGTTTTGTTTTATCAAGAAAAAAAACAAGTTTCAGTTTGAAAATGGTTTTTTTCCCCCTTCTAATTTTTCAGTTCAGCCAATAAATCAAAAAACAACTATTCATCAACTCATTAACTAGCAGTGCTACTGTCTCACTAGAACAAGAACTAGACTATATACCATAATTCACCAACCCTTGTTAGATTTAAATGATGTAATACAGAATTACAGTATCTTAAATGTCAACCCTTATCAATATGGCATCAATAACTACTATGGTTTAGAAGAGAAACAAAATAAAAAAACATCAAGAACCCATTTTGGTATTTCCTGCTTTGGTAATCAAATGCCATATCTCCATGTGCTGACAAAAACCGCAACACAATGCAGACAACGGCCTTCTTGAAAATACAGTAGACTGAACAGCACTTCTTATAAGGCAGCCATTGTTAACCTATAAAAATAAATTGTTTCACCAATTATTACGTATACTGGAAAATTTTAATTTGTGAAGAATTTGCAACTGCAACGATTTCATATAAATGAAAGAAAAGGTGAATCTATTCTGGGGAGGTTGAATCCTTTTGTGATAACAAAACAATGCAAACTCTTATAATTTATTCTTAAGATCTGTAATTTATGGTTACTTATAATTTATACAATCAATATCACATGGTTTTACCAAACATTCAAACACTGCTTTAAAAAAAAGCTCAATTAGCTCACTTTGGGATTGACACTTACTCCAAAAAGAAAACTGGGGTAAGGTTAATATTAATTTTCAAATGCTTATAAAGCAGCAAAATTGTTGGTGAAACATTACACACACATCCACTGACACACAAATGTATAACACAGGGTGAAATAAAGAATCATAGTGCAAGTGGAACTATGTTCAAGCAATCAGTGCTATGCAATTAGTATGCAGTTGCTACTTAAACATTAAAAAATGTTTTTAATTTTGCTGTATTAGAGTCTCTATTGCTCTGTAGAGTTTAATGCATCCTTTTTTTCTTTCTTTTTAATATACCTCAATTTCTATACTGTTGCTTACACAAATTATGTATTTTATAACATATATCAAAACAACACTTTCAGGTACAAGCATGGATAAAATCAATAGTTATAATAAGGTGCTTTGTGCTTCACTAGTTTCTCACATGGTGTCTTTCCTTTCTTCACAAGGATCCTCTAATACTCTTTCCTAGCCCTAAGGATTCCCTCCAACTATTTTCTTCATTTTTCTCCCGCCTTTGAAAACACTGTGGTCACACTCCCTTACAGTCAAACAGTGGTACTCCTTGAGCTAATATGATGAAATGAGATGAACAGAGAACAGTATGAAAAGATACCTCCTCCCATAAGTGTGAATGCTTTCCGCTTCCACTATGTTCATAGCTTGTGTCAACCTGACAATTAAGGGTCGAGATTTAAAGCCCAACATCAGATCTCATATGGCATCCCAGTGTTCTTCCACTAGATTACCATACTGGCACAGTGGGCCAATATGGCTTCAAATGAGAATGTATTAGCTCAGAATTCAGATACAAACATTGGGTACGTATTATTGTATTCTGTGTATGAAGCATGTGTATGTATATATGCTCCATTCATGTGCATATAAAACTGATATGCATGTGCATTTATGTGCATATGGAACATGTGAGTGTTTACACACATACGCATATAGTCCATGAGAGTGACACTGCATGACAAGGTGTACAAGAATATCAAAATATTCCTATATGTGTAGTACCTAAACACACAAGCTAAGAGTTTCTAAATATCTCAAGATTATTCCTGTATTATAACCTCACTTTCTTAAGGAGTTTGTGTCTTTATTGTACAGCCTTACTTGAATACTGTACAAGAACAGAGAACTACCTTGATTTCCTTTATGAAGGACAGCAAATAAAATCTATACTTTTAAATACTTTTTGGAAAATAGTTTAACCAGCATATCAAGCATAAGGAAAGGTTGAAGTCTGCTGCTGCCCCTTTTAATCTGTTCTCATAGTGTGAATTATAATTCCATTTTTGTAGTTATATTAACATTCCATTAGTTTCACATTTTTAGATTTTGAGACCACTAGAAAGAGTGGTTGAGTAGATAAAGCACTAGGCTAGGACGAGTTCTAGCTCCATTTCTTCCCCTGGCCTGCTATGTATCCTTCAGCAAGACTTTACTACCACAGACTCGGTTTCTCTATCTTTAAAAAGGAGCTGCAGAGGGGAGCCAAATTAGTCTGTCAGGGTAAACTTAAAAAACAACAAATGATCTATTCTAGTAGCACTTTATAGACTAACAAAACATATAGATGTTATCAAGAGCTTTCATGGGCACAACCCACTTCTTCAGATGACCGGAGCTGTGCCCACGAAAGCTCATGATACCATCTACATGTTTTGTTAGTCTACAAAGTGCTACCAGACCATTTGTTGTTTTTTAAAAAGGAGGTAACTGCACAGACGAAAAGTGATATTGGAGCTACATATTGTTCATTTTATTAGAATCTTTGATAGGACAAAGCCTTTATTTATTTATGGCCTCATTATAAGCAACTGAATATATATTATTCCTTGGTGGTTTGTTTTTGTTTGTTTGTTTAATTAAACGGAACTCAATCTTCTGCCTTGGACACCTTAACTAGTTATATAACTGTAAATTGGAGTTTGAAACATAATATACGTTAAATGTATATCATTACCTTTTACTACGTCAGCCACATTACAGGTTGGATCAATACTCCCAATATGCTTTGGATGAGCAGGATTAGTATCTCCACCAAAAAGAAGAGCTAATAAGAAAAAGAATTGTCAGTTATATGAACAGATATTGCATTTAAAACAACACAGAAAAGTTAAATCAGATGTGTTGACAAGAGTCAGCATCACGCTGCAAAAAAGATACGCTTCCATAATGTCAGTCCCTGATCTAGACTATTGCCCCTCTCTCTACCGAAAAAAACCCCCACTTTATTTACTAATTACAGCTTGCAATATCAGATACAATATGAAAAATTAATGCACTGGAGTCTATTCACGTCCATCCAGAAGACAAAGTCTCATATTTCTCAGGATAGACTAGACTAGACAACTGAATTGTGAAATGCTTCCTCCATATAATTATCTCAATGCACAGTTATCACAATTAGGGACACTTCAAGAAGAAGGTCCCAGTAGGTGGAACTGCAAATTAGATTAGGTATACAAGGTTTCTAATATTTAGCACCCATTTGTCAACCATCTATTAAACCAGGGCTACTCAACTTTGGAAGCCCTGGGGGCCACAATGATACTCACAGCACATGCTGAGAGCCGCAACTTTATGCAAATATACATGTAAATATATGCAAATAAGCTTCTTTCACATTTGCAGGCATGAATACAAAGATTAAGGCAAGACTACACAACACACAGGCCCCATTTAAGTCAGTTTTGATTATATTAATAAAATGCAATATTTACCCAGTTTCTACCCATATGACAGAACTTTTAAATGAGCAATGACAGTCCAGGAATGTAACTACTAAAACACATATCAACAAAAGACCATTATATTGACTACTTTTTTGTTTTGGCTCCCACCCACAGGCCGTGTGTTGAGCCCCGTGTAAATCCAAACCACACTGTGGGCCACAAACAAATGAGCCATGGGCTGCATGTTGAGTAGCCCTGTATTAAACAGAACTCTGTCAGGGTCAAGGCCAAATTACATGAAACCTCTTGTTTCTCTCAACACGTGAGAAAAGAGCCAATTGCCCTTAGCAAATCAAGGGTGGATCACTAGAGATTATCTACACAAAGAAATCCCACCAGTTTAATGAAAGGTGTGATATTAAACTGCTTTAGTTAAACTACTGCAAAGCTGTACCAGTTAAAATGCTAAGCCAGGTTTAAATCAGTATGAGTCTCCAGACTCAAGTTGCACCAACTAACAAAATCAGTTTAGCATTATAGTTAAACAGGTGCAACTGGTGTGTCTAAACTAGGCCTACAAATTGTAATAGTACAAAGCCTTTATTTATTAACACTTATTTTCTCAGAGGGACCTTTTTATTCATCTAGCTTTGTCATCTTCCTTTTCATGTCTGGCCTGATTTACTACTAAGTGACTATACTATTCTCATCTTTTTAGCCTTGTAGTACTCATGCATTTAGCATCTCTTTCACTGGACACATTATAAATAAAAGTTACTGCATACATACATCATTGTTAGTTTAATGCCTTGGGCTTAATGTTTTCCCTATCCTATGTAGCATGCCCATGTTTCTAAGATGTCACAAACAGCAAGATACTGGACAGGAATGAAAACATGGAGCCAATAAAAGATGCACTTTCAAGAGATCATAAGAATGACCTTGACTTTGAAAAGCAACAGATACTGGCTACTGGAGCTAAATAATTCCATTCACGCTACAAGATGAATACTAAAAATGGATATGTAACCAGCACAAATCTCGGAATCTAATTTGCATGCTTCTCTCACACTAGAACTACTGTGTTGATTAATAAAGGGAAGAATAAAAATAAAAATCTCAAGTGAGAAATACAGTTTCTTTAGAAGACAAGAAAAAAAGAGGTTGGTGGAGTAAGAGCAGGAAAGACAGCATAATTTGTTGGAAATATTTAGCTCTTAAAATATGCACAGTGAACAAACTTTATTCACAAGCATGACAAAACTGAAAAGGTGGAAGACTTTTGTATTTGATGGTGAAATATATGTCAAATCTAGAGAGTGGACTGGTAGGCAGAAAAGATGTAGTTATTTTACTAGTACCTAAAAATACTTTGTTCATCATCTCGCACAATGAATCCGCTAACAAGGTGAAAAAATTTTTTAGTCACATTGACAAAACAGAAGAGTAGAATTTACCTGCAAGCCCATCACTTTGAAATACAGGGCTGTTACTCTACTTTGTGGTTCAGATTCATTTCTAGAAAAATGCCTCAAAAATACTGCACTACTTAAATAAACTGACAGTAGATCATCTACCATCTTTATCTTCACCTCAGAATGTTAAAAATAGTCATTGGTGCGAGGAAGGCAAAATCAATGCTGTCATTTTGGGTACATAAGCAACAACTAATTATTCCTCCAAATTGAAAAGCAAAGCAAAGTACTTACTGTGCTGGTTAATAAGCATGCGGAAAGAGATGCGGTTGGTGTAGAACCTATCTAGAAAATACTGGATGTTACTGCTAACAAATGGATCAAAGCCATACTTTTCCTTGTACTCAATCACCCCTTGAGCCATTGTAGGAACCACATCATTGTGTCTGTTCCTTACTTTGATTAAAACGTCTAAAAAGCTGAAAAACACAAAAGTAGAAACAATGTTAGAATAGCAGGAATCTCTACATCTTATTCCACTGTTTTAAACTATTCATTCACATGTAAGACAGTCTCTTCTTGTTTATCCTTCATGGTCTCTAAAAATGTATCAAAGAAACAAAAGTCTTGCTACATTACTATCTACTACACCATGCTAAAGGGAAATATATTGTGCAACTGTATGCTCAAACTAGTGTAAACATTCAAGACCTCTGAATGATTCAAGTTATGTCCCACAAAAATGTACATAAAATTGTGTTTTCCCCAGATCATTCTTCCCTATCAATCCAGAACACTTACTCACAAATATGAATAAGGCCGACTATAACCAGGAGGCAACCAGACAACTCTCGAACACCACATTTTACAAACCTCTCCCCTCTGACCCCACCTTGGACTACCAAAAGAAACTACACTGTCTCCTTAAAAGCCTCCCCACAGCTACTCGGGAACAAATCCTCACAGAATCACCTTCTGACCCCCGACCAGGATTGTTCTATCTACTTCCCAAGATCCATAAACCTGGGCACCCCGGACGTCCCATCATCTCTGGTATTGGCACGCTCACTACGGGTCTATCCAGCTATGTAGACACTCTTCTCAAACCCTTCGTAACCAATACCCCCAGCTATCTCCGAGACACTACTGACTTCCTAAGGAAATTACAAAACATCGATAACCTCCCCAATAATACCATCCTTGCCACCATGGATGTAGAAGCTCTATATACCAACATCCCACATGAAGACGGATTACAAGCAATTAGAAACACTATCCCAGAGGACACTACTGCCAACCTGATAGCAGACCTATGTAACTTTGTTCTCACCCACAATTATTTCCGGTTTGAGAACAACTTATACCTCCAGATCAGCGGCACAGCCATGGGTACACGCATGGCCCCACAGTATGCTAACATCTTTATGGCTGACCTAGAACAACGTTTCCTCAACTCCCGTCCCCTTTCACCCCTCCTCTACCTACGGTACATCGATGACATCTTTATGATCTGGACACATGGCCAAGAAACACTGGAGATATTCCACAGAGATTTCAACAACCTACACCCCACCATCAACCTCAGCCTGGACCATTCTACACGAGAGATCCACTTCCTGGACACCACCGTACAAATCAACAATGGAAAATTAGACACCACTCTCTACAGAAAACCCACTGACTCATACAGTTACCTACATGCATCCAGCTCCCATCCAGAACACACCACACGATCCATCGTCTATAGCCAAGCCCTTCGATACAACCGCATCTGCTCTAACCCCACTGACAGAGACCAGAAGCTTCAGGATCTCTACCAAGCATTTATAAATCTCAACTACCCACCCAGAGAAACAAAAAAGCAAATTGAAAGAGCCAGACGAATACCTAGAAACCATCTACTTCAAGACAGACCCAAGAAAACCAACAATAGAACACCACTTGTCATCACCTACAACCCCCAACTTAAACCTGTCCAACACATTATCAATAAACTACAGCCTATATTGGAACAGGATACCATACTCAAAGAGGCTCTGGGAGACAGACCCATAGTCTCCTATAGACAACCACCTAACCTCAAGATGATTCTTACCAACCACCACAGGACATACCACACTAATACCAACCCTGGTACCTTCCCTTGCAACAAACCCCGTTGCCAGCTTTGTCCACATATTCATTCTGCTGATACCATTATTGGACCTAACCAAGTGAGTTATAAGATCAAGAACACATATTCCTGCGCATCCAGAAATATAATCTACGCTATCATGTGCCGAAAGTGTCCGTCTGCTATGTACATTGGACAAACATCTCAGACACTTCGCCAAAGGATTAATGCCCACAAAACAGATATCAGACAAGATCACAAAGAGAAAACAGTTTCTTGCCACTTTAACCAGAAAGGACACTCTCTAAATGACTTAGCCACCTGCATTCTGCTACAAAGACCTTTTACATCTGCACTTGAAAGGGAATCCTCTGAACTGTCATTCATGTTAAAATTCGACACTTACCAACAAGGACTTAACAAGTCTTTGAACTTTCTCCCTGCATCCTCCTTCTGTTCTGAAATGTGATTTGTCCTTTTCATATGTGTTCATTTTTTTTAATTGTATCTTTTGGTATATATGGTTGTGACTATTTTCTTCCACTATTTGATCTGAGGAAGTGGGTCTGGCCCACGAAAGCGCATCATCTAATAAACCATCTTGTTAGTCTTTAAAGTGCTACATTGTCCTGCATTTTGCTTCTGCAGGAGATAGTGGACTAATAGCAAGCCACCTCTGAAGAGACCAACTAGCTGGATATCTGAATTGCCGGAAAGGTAAACCACAGTTTGTTTTTACTGTAGGTAGAATGATTATGTTTAAGTAATGATCAGTATCAACATGTGCACAGACACAATTCTGATCAGATTCTTTTTATGCCTTTGGATGGCAGAACACATACAATGGTGCTTTCTCCAATTTCCTGCAGTATCTTCCCCTTTGAAGATCAAGTTTTGTGTCTACTTTTGAGTATTCTTTTTAATGATATCAATACAAGGCAAACGAAGACATGTATTTGAAAGAGGAAAATGTAACTTTCTTGTCAAAGAAAACTAAAACATGCAACATTTGAAGAATCATCCCTTCCTTTTACATACAATTCTTCTGAGGTACAAAATATTGACCCCAAAAAATTCCCCTTTTTAAAAAGGATGATTTGAATATTTTTTTTAATCTCAAAACATGAAAAGTAGCTTTGTTCAGCTCTGCCATTTTTCTTATTGACATTAACGACCATCAATACTACATTGACAAGAATGCTTTTTTCCTCCTTTCAGAATCAAACAGAAACAAATGCAACACACTTTTCAAAAGAAAGCAAAAATGGTGACGCTATTGTTAACTTGTAGCTATGTCTGAAAAGCTAAGGTTTCTTTTTATACACTAACTTTAGAGGAAATTCTCAGTAGGTTTATAATGAGCATGGAGGAACTCTGTTTGACAAATTGAGTGAGTAACTGATTAAATTAGAACCTAAGCACCACCTTTAAGAGGAAATTATGATACATTAGACTGCATGAAGTTACAGAGGATGGAAGACTCATTAGTCACTAACATTTATGTATTCTAAGGCCTACAAACTACAGAGTTTGTCAGCGCAAGTTATGCTGATGATCAAACAAAACTATGATTATATAACTTGTGTAAGTTCAGACAACCCTCCTGCTGATGAAGCACATGGTTGTTTAGTATCAGAGGGGTAGCCGTGTTAGTCTGAATCTGCAAAAGCAGCGAGGAGTCCTGTGGCACCTTATAGACTAACTGAAGTGTAGGAGCATAAGCTTTCATGGGCAAAGACCCACTTCGTCAGATGCATGGTTGTTTGGTGCTCTAGCATCAACAGTGAAGCTGTTCACTGTGGGAGCTATTTCAATGTGCAACTTGCCATCTTCTGCAGATAGGAATTGTGGGGAAGGTGGAGTGGACTATAGTGCATCATGGGTACAGGCTCAATGTCCTATGATGTAGTTTTTTTAAAAACCATCATTCCATTTTTCAATGGCTCCTGTTTACTGTGCACCCGCCATCTCTGTCTGAAAGGAGTGATCCTGTACTGCCCTCTACTGTTGTGGTGATTTATGAACACATCATAGATCAGAGGTGGGCAAAAGGGCCTCCGTGGGCCGGATCCATCCGCCAAGCGGGTTGAACCAGCCAGCGCGGAAGCATGAAAAAGCTCCCTCCCTCCCTGCAAGGAGCACGCTGCACTTCAAAATGCTACGCGCTCCTTGCAGAGTGGGAGGAGACATCACGTGCTCCCCCGCCTCCAAGTGCTGCTTGGCCTGGGGGTGGGAGGAGTGCGCAAAGTTTCCTCTGCCCTCCCCTCGCCCTGCAGCACTTCAAAGTGCCATGCACTCCTCCGCGGGGGCAGGGCGAAGGAAGCTTCATGCAGCTTCCCCACCCGCAGGCCCTGATTGGCCTGGGGGTGGGGGAGCGCACAAAGCCTCCTCCCGCCCTGTGAGGAGTGCGTGGCACTTTGAAGTACAGCATGCTCCTCGCAGGGCAGGGATGGGGAGAGATTGGCCTGGTGACAGGGGGAGCGCCCGAAGCCTCCTCCTGCCCTACGAGGAGCATGCGCCAGGGCGCATCATGGGTGCGTACTGTGAAGTGGGGGGCAAAGGGGCTCCCCCACCCCCAGACCAATCATGGTCTATGTGTGGTGTAGCCCAGAAGTGTACTGGCCCCGTTCCTTCCGGTTTAGGCTCTGGCCCCTTACGGGCAGCCGGGGGCACTTCAAAACTTTTTGAAGTGGCCCCCAGCCAAAAATTATTTCCCACCCCTGTCACAGAGGGTCATGCGTAGATGGAAATGTGTGTAAAACTGCGTGGCTTTGCAGAAATGGAATTTTGTGACTGCGCAGTGACAACAGATAGCATACATATCCCAATTTTGGCTCCAGACCATTTTGCAATGGAGCCTGTACAGAAAACTGCAAGCAGGTTCTTTCTTTCCAGACCAGAAGATTCCAATGGAGCATGTGAAAATGCCTACAGTGATTCTGGGAGATTCAGTGTGCCCATTACTTTCATGGCTCATGAAGCCTTACACAAGGAAACTGGACAACAGTAAGGAGAACTTCAACAGTATGCTAAGTAGATGCAGAATAAAAATAGATTGTGTGTTTTGCAGATTAAAAGCACGCTGGTACTGCCTTCATGGCACGTTAGGCCTAAATGAGAAAAATATTCCCATATTCATGGCAGCCTACTGAGTACTCCATAATATTTGTGAGGTTTAGGTGAAAAGTTTCCACAGGGTGGAGTATGGAGGAAAATCACCTGGTGGATGATTTTGAGCAGCCACATGCCAACACTGTTAGAGGGATACAACAGGGGTTATTCGACTGAGGAAGACTGTGAGATACCATTTTGACAATCAGCACAAGTGACATGTCATTCTATGTAGTACTCTGCCATATTTTGTTA